TTTGAAGGATCGTCATTGCAAATCACCAACCATAGATTGGATGGTACGAACTTTCTTCAATGATCCTAGTCGGTTCTTATGGTTATCCGAGGGAGAGGAAAGTTAGAATACATTATTGAAGAGACTTAGCGACCCAACATAGGGGAACTAGCCTATGCTAACTGGAAACTCAATAAATCACTAGTCATGGCACGGTTGATCAACTCAATGGAGCCTCATATCAATCGCACCTACTTGTTTCTTCGAACTCGCCAAAGCAATTTGGGATACTCGTCAATATGAACTATTTCGACCTCAAAAATGCATCTCAAATCTTTGAAATTAAAACTCAATTGGAGGAAATACGACAAGGTAGTATAAATGTAATTGAGCATTATCATGAGTTACAAATACTTTGGCGTGAGCTGAACATGCATTATGAAGCAAACCGGGAGATCTTGAAGGCTATCGAAAGTTCAAAAGGCATTTAGAAAAGAAAAGATTGTATAAATTCTTGATCGGCCTTACACGAGCAGCTTGATGAGGTTCGAGGAAGGATACCGGAGCAGAGACCATTGCCCTCCATTGATGAAGCATTTGCGAAGTAAGACGAGAAGCCAGTAGGAGGCATGTTATGCTTGGTGAAAAAAAGGACTCCATGTCTCGTCTTGGTTAGAGAAAGGTCAATTGATACAACGGCTCTTGCCGTGCGCAATTCCTAAGATAGATTTGGTGGAGATCAAAAAAATAATCAAAATAATCGAGTGAGGGGGATATCCTTGGTGCGACCACAAGCAACGAGTTGATCATACCCGTGATACCTGTTGGGATATCCATGGAAAACCGAGTGAATTGGAAGTTTCGAGAAACTAATAAAAATGGTTTTCAAGTAATCGTAGAAGAGAAAACTAAGTAAACCAATTCTAGCAGAAAGTCAAATGGTGTATTCCTAAGCAAGTCTCAACTCGGAACAATTGCGAAACTGTTGAGTCAATCAACAATGTGTAATACAAATGTTAGTGGTTCTACTCATAAAGGTACGACTCTTCATGCAAAAAATACAAATACTTGAATGCTTAACTCTATATGACAAGTAACTTGTCTTTGTTTGAATCCATACTCCTTGTCAAAGGAATTTCGCAGTTAAAGTAGCAAATAGTTCATTTTCTCCCGTCACTCGGAAAAGGCTTAATCCATCTCTCAAAGGAGATTTCTTTGAGTTCCGTTCTTTATGTATCAAATCTTGCTTGTAACTTGATCTCTATTAGCAAGATTACCGGTGAGCTTAACTCGTATTGTTGTCTTTTATGGCAACTCTTGTATACCTGCAAGACTTGGAATCGGGAAGGATGATTGATAGTGCTAGAGAAGAAGGTGGACTCTAATATTTTGAGGATGACAAATACGTGACTAAACAAGCTACCGTGGTTGAAAGTGACTACTTTTGCTACCAATAATAATGCAATAATGTTGTGGCACCATAAGTTAGGACATCCCAACTTTCATTATCTCAAACATCTATTCCAAGTTTATTTATCAACAAAAATCCTAGTTCTTTCGGTTATGAAATTTGTCATCTTACTAAACATACTCGTACATCTTTCCTAATCCAACCATACAAAGAGTTTTGTTTGTTTTTCTTAATTAATAGTGACATACGAGGACCCTCTAATGTAAAAAATATCTCCGGTACACGGTGGTTCATCACCTTTATCGATGACCACACTTGAGTTTACTAGGTTTATCTACTTACAAAAAAATCTAAGACTCGCAAAAACATTTTGAACTTGCCATTCAATGATAAAAACCCAATTTCACACCTTCATCTAAACATTAAGAACTAACAATGGAAAGGAATATTTTAATGCAATTTTTGGACACTACCTTCAAATTAATGAAATAATCCATCAAAGTTCATGTCCGGACACACCTCGACAGAATGGTGTGATTGAAAGGAAAAATCATCACCTCCTCGAAGTTGCCAGAGCCTTAATGTTTGCTAAGCATGTCCCAAAACATCTTTGGGGGAAAGTCGGTCTAATGACCTCTTATCTCATAAATAGAATGCCCTCTCGAGTTCTTAAATTTGACTCCTCTTTGTCAACTTTGCTAAAAACTTACCCAACCTTCCGTTCTATTTCCTCCATACCACTTTAGACTTTCGTTGTACAGCTTTTGTACACGTCCAAAATCGTTCTAAACTAGACCCAAAATCCGTCAAATGTGTCTTTATCGGGTATTCTCCCACTCAATGTGGGTATAATTGTTATTCTACATCACTTCGTCATGTTTTTGTGTCCATGGATGTCTCCTTTTTTGAGTCTCAATCTTTTTTTCACAATACTTATCTTCAATGGGAGATTTCAAGAGAAGATAAGTCATGGGATATACCCGAAACAGAATCCTTATCCCTATCTCCCTCTTTAATTCCAACCCCAATTCCTACTATTGAATCTCAACCTATTGTGCCACTCAATACACACAAGGAAACATTGAAAACATGAGATAATTTTCAACCACAATTACTTGTTTATTCACGTAGGAAACATTCTCAAAAGGGGAGAACCATGAAACTCAACATGGTCAAAAGTCCGATAGAATCCGAGTCCCGCTGTCGAAGATACCAATGAACTCGTTGAGCATAATATTGAGCTTCGTAACCACACTTTAGACCTAGATATTCCAATTGCTCATAAAGAAGGAACCAAGTCTTGTACCTAACATCCCGTAAATTTTATAATACACAAGGAGTAACTAGTGGCATTTACGAGTAGTTACTCCTTTGGTCTACTTTGAGGAGAGAGATATACACACAAAAAGAAAGAGAGAAAAATAGGAGAGAGAAAATAAAAAAATTTGAGCGGACGTGGAAATCTTCTCATCACTTTTGGTAGGTATAGATGTAATTTCTCTCTTTTTTATGTGTCTATCTCTCTCCTCAAAGTGGACACAAGGAGTAACTACCGTACATGCCACTAGTTACTCCTTCGTATTATAAAATTTTCCCCTAACATCCTATATCCAAGTTTGTCTCTTATCAAAGGTTGTCCCTTGAATTTCAAGCTTTCACTACTTCACTATCGAAAATAGAGGTATACAATAAGCACTTGCTAATCCGAAGTGGAGAGCGAGTTGTTCAAAAAGAAATAGATGCCTTGAACAATAAGTGGCACATGGGAGATTGCGGAACTCCCTTAGGGAAGAAAACAATGGATTGTAAGTGGGTTTTTACATTAAAGTTCAATGCTAATGGTAGTATCGATCGATACAAAACTAGGCTTATAGCCAAAGGCTTTTCTCAAACATATGGAATTGACTATCAAAAGACCTTTGCCCCAAGTGGCTGTGCTAAAAACAAGTAAGAGTTCTTCTCTCCTTAAGCTCTAAGCTTGATTGGCCACTACAACAATTTAATGTAAAGAATGCATTCCTAAATGATGACTTGCATGCGGAAGTCTATATGGATGCACCTCCTGGATTTGAAAGAAAGGACAACTTGGCATGTAGATTGAAAAAATCTCTTTATGGGTTGAAACAGTCTCATAGAGAATGGTTTGAAAAATTTACTCAAGTTATCAAGAGTACGGGTTTTGTTCAAGCACAATCCGACCACTCATTATTTTACAAGCACTCTAAAGATGGAAAAATAGTCATTCTTATAGTGTATGTGGATGGATATTATCCTAACGAGAGATGATCACATAGAATTGACTTCTTTAAAGAAGTACCTAACGAGAGCATTTGAATTGAAAGACTTGGGGGCTCTAAGGTACTTCCCGGGTATTCAAGTTGCTAGAAGCAAATCGGGGATTACAATTACATAACAAACGAATGTACTTGATCTACTTCAAGATACAAGTATGTTAGGTTACGGACCAACCGAGACACCTATGGATCAAAATACTTAGTTAGATATTGAAGGAGGTAGAGGGATTGATCGGGAACGAGTATCAAAGGCTTGTAAGGAAGCTGATTTACTTGGCACACACAAGAACGGACAATGCCTTTCCGAGTAAGTGTTATTAGTCGGTTCATGCATTCACCTAAGGAGACACTTCTTAATGCAGCCGATAGAATTTTGAGGTATTTAAAGAATACTCCTAGTAGGAGGTTTATTCTTTAAGAGAGGTGAACATAGAATGATAGAAGTTTATACCGATGCAAACCGAGCGAGTTCTCCCTTGGATAGAAGGTCAACTTTGGGTTATTGCACATATGTCCGGAGTAATCTTGTAACATAAAGGAGTAAGAAGCAACCTATAGTTGCTAGAAGCGATGCGTAAGCCGAGTTTCGGGCTTGAGCTCAAGATATTTGTGAAGGAATAGGGCTGGGGAGATTGCTTAGTGAACTAAAGATATCTAATAGCTTTCCCATGAAGCTGTATTGTGACAACAAGGCAGCAATGTGGATAGCTCAAAATCATGTCCATCACGATCGAGCAAAACACGTAGAAGTTGATCGACACTTCATCAAGGAGAAGATTGACAATGAAAGTGTGTGCATTGTTTATATCCCTACTAAAATTCAGACAACCAATATTTTAACTAAAAGCCGCATAAACCAAGCTTTGAAGATTTAGTAAGCAAGTCGGGAATGATTAACATATATGCCCCTCCTTGGGAGGGAGTGTAGAAAGATCTTGTATAATTAGCCTATTCTGGAAATCATTCTATTTAAGGAAGTAGATCATTAGTCTCCTAAGTATTTGGGGTTAATTTCCTAAATAGTAGCTGTCACCGTAATTTAGGGATTTATATGTTTTTTTCTAAAGAAGCAGATTAGGAAAACATCTCTGCCTATAAATATGCACAGCCTTATCTCAATGTATAGTTGAATAAAAATATATTATCTCCTAGAAACTTTCACTATATTTAGGGAGTTGGTGGGCACTTTTAGATTTCCACTTTAATTAGCCTGTTTCATGCAAGAGAATGCCCTCCTTTTCTTTTAAACACCATTACTTTCTAAAAAATATTTCTTCATCTATCAAACAAAAAAAGTAGGATTTACTATTCCTCATCTACAAATATCCAAATTTATAGCAATGACGTACCTGACAGTATCTTACTATGTCATATAGATTCTGCAATCCAGAATTCTCATAGAAAACCATCGAACTCTGCTCAGAAACTACCACATTTCACAATTGCACTGTTGTATGTGGAAATGAAATAGAAGTTAGCATTGTCAAGGAGAAAGGGAACAAAAATTACCTGCCTGGGGACATCAGCAGGCCTGTAAAAAAGTACACATTCAGAAGGGAGCCCATCTCGTCCAGCTCGACCACTTTCCTGCAGTACCAGAAGCTATAGAAAGAAGAACACTATGGAAAAAAGACTAGCTGACTAGTAAGAGAACAGACCTGGTAATATGTTTCCATCGATTTACTCAGGCTGTGATGAATGACAAACCTAACTACAAACAAGTATTGGTCATTAAATGTAAGACTATGCTATATGCATATACGTCTACATAGAGCTGCAAAAGTAGCCATCAGATCATAAACATAAAACTGTAAAATACTAATAACAACCATCTGGTTTGTTGATTCCCATTCCAAATGCCACCTGGTAAAAAAGCAAAGTTATAGAATTTGAGAGAAAATATAGGCATTATACCAATAAAAAAATGATAATTGCAATGATACATACGGTACCAACAATGACTTGTAACTTGTTTTTGCTCCACCTGTGACATGAAACCACACAAAAACTAGATAAGATGGAAATAGAGAACAGACAGTGAGACTTTGAGAAGATGCATTAAGTTTTCAGTAATTTGGTAATTTTCGTTGGAAAGAATTGCCATAATAATTTTAATTAAAAAAATTCTATTGAGGGAAAGAGATAGCAAGAAGAAATGCCATTATTTTTAAAATGATGTAAGAGTTATCAGTTTCTTTGACTTATAGTGTTCTGTATCTCGAAGTCTCCAAGACAATTCTTCAGTTAACACTAGGGATACTGAAAACTAATTCTGCATTAGATTTTTTTCCCCTCCAATTTTTGTATCATCACCTTTCTTCTTGATAAAATATCTTATCCATTAGACAAAATAAAAATAAATAAAAGAGATGCCTGAAAGCCAGCATAAGTTTTGAATCCAGAACAGTAAAAAATCTTTTTCACAAGAAACAATGTGGGGTGAAAGAAAAGAAGCTAGTGCCATTTCACACAATATTGCAGCAAATAATAGCATCAGAATAATGACACTTTACCTCATATGAACTTTCTCACGAGCATTTACATCCATATCTGCATGGTAATATTCGGCTGAAATTCCTCTGTCACATAACTCTGCTGCAACCTACAGCTCTTGACAGAATGTCAAGGATAAATTTTTATAGCAATTCTAGAAAAGAGATGCTAGTATGTTATTATTTTAACATTAGAATTGTAATTTTTTTCAATATTCTATACACTAACAATATCAATCTAATGCAAAGAAAGGATCTTTATCCATGTTGTGTTAAAAGTATAGCTGTATGATAGAAGGGATCGGTGCCTATGAATAGATGTTAAATGATATGAAAACCTCCCTATGAATAGATGTGAGATGATATGAAAACAAATAAGCAATTCCAATGAGTAAAGTCCTCACTTTCTTAATGCAAGTAATGGCAAACCTTGAAAGCACACTAAGCAGTAAGCACAAAATAAGCTGCTCACAATCATATGATTTACAGTAAAAAGTTTCAGCTGAGCAAGGCTTCAATAGTTTCTCTGTTTCTACACAGTTATCTGCAAATTCACTTATTTCAGCATTCCATAACTATTGATATAGTAATAGTACCACAACAAACACAGTTGAATTAGCACCATGGATCGTTCCAACTCCACTACCCACAAACAAAATAACTCTCAAACAATTTTTAAGCCACCAAAACAAGAAGGAAGCATTATATAGAAAAGACAGACCTGTTCACATTCTTTTCTGGAGAAGCAGTACACTATCCCAGATTCATTGTTTGGATAAGATTCTTGAATGAATTCAGCAATTTCATCAACCACCACCTTACCAACAGATGACTTCTCCCATACCTGAGAAGTACAGAGTTGATATTTTTGCTCCCACTCTTAAGCCATTAAGAGTAAAATGAAGTCAGGTGTCAACTATACCGAGTAGAAAAGGTTTGGCCTGTTGACTGTACTGACAAATTTAATGCATTTTGGAATGTGCAGCATCTCCATTACATCATACTGGACTTTCTGTGTGGCAGTTGCCTGCAAACCAGATAACAAAGCAATTATGATTACTTTTACATTGTAAACTATAATGCGACATATTCAACAATCGTTTTTCTTATTGATAAAGATCATGAAAACATACAGTCAAAGCCACCACAGGAACATTGGAAAACTGAGTCTTGAGGATACCGAGGTTCTTGTAGTCAGGACGAAAGTCATGACCCCACTGACTACAGCAATGTGCCTCCTGAGAAGTATTTCAGACAATCAAAGACAAATGGTGGCAAAATTTTCTATATAGATGCCTTGAAAATTACAGTGCAAATGATTAGTATTATGAAAAACTTCAATTATGTAAAAGTAGTCAGACATCAATTCCATGTACAGCAGGTACACATCTGAGCACTTTCTAGATCTTTTAGGAAATAGATTTTCAATATTGCAGTCCACTACAACTGGGACATTCTTCCAACTGCAGAAAATATGATATATGTGTAAGGAGAGCAACTTGACCTTGCCAATTTCCTATCTTATGACTGACATTGATTTATAAACCAAACTCCTCATTATTAACTGCTACTCAGACAAACAGGAGGCCTTTTCAGTAGATTCTCAAAAAAAGGAAAAAAAAACGTAGTCTATTAGATGGATCGATGATTTCTCACTCTTTTATTTATTTTATTTTTTTTCATAAGAGAAATTTTGGTAAATACTGACAGATTTCCCAAAAGTTAGGTAAATTTTTCCCTCTAAGCAGTTTCTTATTCTCTGGTTCACTTTGGTCCGGATTCCAGACACTGAGCAAGCTTCAATTGGAGTAAGCACTGATGTTGGAGAACACATGGGACTTCTATAGCCATGTTGCAAGGAAAGCAATGTGATTTGCCAAAAGTCTTTTCATGTACATGCTTCTCAGCCCCAAAACTTCACATCCAGGTAACTTTTTCAAATTACTTGGCATTATAAGAATAGAATCCAATTTTGGTATTAAAAATACTAAGTTTAGGACGAGCATTTCAGCAATTCTCAGCTGGTGATCGAATTGGTAATGGTCGACATGTTTCATTGAATTCAAAGTAAAAGGAAAAAATATCAAAAACGATGTACTCACATCAATTGAAATTAGTGAGAGGCGTCCTGCATTGTGGCATTTTTCAAGTTTTGACATGAATCTTTTGCTCTTTGATATCTTTTCTGGTGTGACATACAAGATTTTAAGCTCGCCTTCATCCTTTTCAAGAGCCTTATATATGAATTTCTCATTTTCCTTGCTAGTGGTCGATGTCAACATGAATGCTGGAATGCCTAAAGCAGTCAAACCCATAACCTGAATCATCAATTGTTGTCCCAAAAAAGCCAATTCAAGTTACAGATAAGGCGTGTACAAAGCACATCTTTTTAATAGATTAAACACAAAAAAAGCACCTGATCTTGGATCAAAGAAAGTAAAGGACTTATAACAAGGGCCACACCATCACGAAGAACAGCTGGGAGTTGGTAGCAAAGGCTCTTACCACCACCTGCAGCCATAATCACTAGAACATCCCTTCCACTCATGATAGCATTTATGATCTGATGGAGTTTTAAACTTTTTATTAGTAAATTCATAAAAGTTAAGCACGAGACTGAAACCAGACATTACTCTCTGCATTAGCAAATCTTGCTGGTATAAACAAACATACTAATAACCCATAAAATAAAAAACGCCTAGACTCCTCTTACACCCTTACCATGCTCAAATTTCCCCAGTGAATTTAAAAACACAAAAAAAGTTCCCACTTTTCCTGCCGTGTATCTATAAAAACAAAGAAGTTTCCGGCTTTCCCAGAGCAAGAAAACATGATTAAGGAGCAATAGCCAGTTTACGCTCAAACACTGAGAAATGGCTAATCACACCCACCAAGAAGATTAAAAGGGGTAATTTGCAAACAGTCCAAACTTTTTCAAAAGAACAGGAAACTGAAAAAAGAGACTCGAATAGGTTAAAGCTTCAATACGTAACTAACCTCCTTTTGATTTTGACGATAAGAGGGTATGCCAAAAATATTAAGCCTGACATAATCAGCTTGAGAATCCCACTCAAATGAACCTGACCAGTCTTCCAAAGAAGAAGAACAAGAAGCATTTTCATCAACAGAATTCCCAGCTCCAGATGTTTTATATGCTTCTAACAAAAACTTCAATTCAGATTGTCTCTCGTACAACTTCTCTTGTCTGTCTAGTAATAACTTTATCTGGTCTTGAACATCTTCAATCTCTGTCTCCACATTGAGTAGCTCTTCTAATGCATCCTCTTCAGTTTCCATTGTTTGTTTCTTAACTGTATCAATTTGATTGTGTCTTGTGCCGTGCTTTGTTGCTACTACTAAAACAAGGAAATTTGGTTTCGTAAGAGGACAATAACTAGGCGGGGGGCAGGGAAAGTGCCTTCGTATGGATGGGTTAAGCCCAGTTTTGTTTTTGTGTCATCATGAAAGCTCAAAGCTTATTCGACGTTTGTTAATGGATGGGTTATTAATTGGAATAATAATATTATAAGTACACCAACTTCTAATATTTTTTTAATCAAATATACAAATTTTATTTTTTATTTAAATATATTAATTTTTTTAAAATTATCAATCAAGTACTTCGTCAATTTTTTCTTAATGGATGACGTGTTCGTTATCTTCACAATATCAAATTATAATTTTATATTTTTTTAATGGAGTACAAGAACTTTAGTTTTTTTTTAAATTGAATACATTAGTTTTTTCAAAATTATCAATCAAATATTTTTATCAATTTTTTTGTTAATTGATGATGTATTCGAATAGGAAATTATAATTTTATTTTCTTTTTGTTAAAGTAAACTCTATTCTCAAATTATTTTACCATTTTAAAATTTGACAAATAATTAAAAAATATTATTTTTTATCTATAAAGTTTTAAATTAAGCTCAATTAAGTTGTTGTTAAAAAAATTCAATTAAGTTTAATAGTACAAATCGAAGAAAAATACAAATGAATCTTCTCGATGAAAAATATCAAGTGTGTATTTCCTTCAACTTGCACGTCCAAAACCTAATTGATTTTTTTTTTCAAACAGTAAGTCTTACTAAGTTTAGTTCAAGATTTTATAACTAAAAATAACTTTTTTTAATTCTTTGTTATATTTTAAAATGAGAGAATAATTTAAATAGAAAGTTTCTTACAACAAAAGGTAAAAAAAAGTAATTTGATATTCGAATACGTTATCAATTAATAAAAAAATTGATAGAAGTGCTTGATTGGTAGTTTTGAAAAAATTAGTGTACTGAATTTGAAAAAATTAAAATTCAAGTGCTTTGTTGAAAAAAGATAAAATTATAATTTGGTATTCCGAAGACGATGAACATGTCATTTATTAACGAAAAAAAATTGATATACTCAAACAAAGAATATTAAAATTAATATACTTGATTGAAAAAAAAAAAGCTGTAATTATTCTGTTGTTAATTGGTTCTCTTAGTTTCACATGTAAGTTTTTTTTTTTTTTTCAGATTCAATTAACATTATTTTTTATTCATAGCAAACATTGAATAAGAATGTTTTAAAGCAAGACATGTTAAAATTCTTTTCAATTGAGACGATAATTGATGGAGGAGGCTGGTAGAGCTTGATCATTGCAGCTAATAAACATTCCACGAAGTAATAAAGTAAATGATTATGCATTCAATAATGTTGCATTTTCATCTTGAGCTCCGTTTGTTTGACAAAAAATAACTTTCAATAGGAAAAATAATTTTAAATAAGTTATATTTTAGGAAGTTGTTTTCCAAAAAGATATTTTCTGAACGTTTGGTAATTACATGAAAAAATTATTAAAAAATATGTTCTAACGTTTGTTTGATATAGAAAACTGAAATACAAAAATAGGCTTTTATTGTTGTATCAACGAGTATTGAGGGAACTTCAACAAGACATATTACATATTGACGATTTCACAATCTAAGATGCATTTAAAAAAATTTAATAAATTTTTATAAATACGGACTCTAACATTTAATATATTTTTTTAATCATCAAACCAATTCATCAAAACTACTTGAGACAAAATCAAGTCAATATTCACATTTATTAAAAAAAAAAAAATCTAAGTAATTTTAGCATTGTTATTTTGGTAACTCAATTAAATTTTTTTTTCTTTTTTGGCAAATTGAACTCGTTAATTTAGTCTAAAAAATACTTTTAAAAATAGTTTTATAAATTTTTAGTTATCATTTATAGATAATTATTCATTTGGTTTCAAAAAATTAACATTGGAATAATTTATAACTAATTATTGATTACAATTGCCAACAAAATTTTACAACCGATTAAAATTAGTAACAAATTATTGATGTAGTTGTAAATGAATAGTTTTGAAAAAATAATATATTTATTAATAAATTAATTAATGTCAAAATTTTCACAAATGATTGCGAGTCTTGTAATAAGCATTTTCAATCATTTAAATATAGTTTAGGTGAACTTTGGAATAATAGTAAAAAAAAAAAAAAGAGATAAATTATTGAAATATTTATTATAAAAATAATTTTAAAGTGGTAAAAATAATTTTTAAAAATATTTAATGTATTTATAAATCGAAAAATCAAATGTTAGTAAAAAAAAAATTGATAATAATTGATAATAAATAATAAAAACTAATTTGATGTACTTCAAAAAAACAGAAAAAATTGTTTAAAATATATCGAAAGAGAAGTGAATAATACAAAAGCGAAACAACTCATATGAGAGAATGTTTTTTTCTTTTTTAATTTAAAAAACACTTTCTCAAAAATAGCTTATTAAATTCCATTAATTTTTTTTATAAACGCAAAATAAAAATTAAAAATTAAAAAAAAACGAGAAAAACAAATTCTTTGAAACTTATTTTCTTCAAAACAGACAAAGCCTTCGCATCAAGAATTCTTGACAGATAAGCTGCCAAGCTCGTCGCCGCGTTTCGGCACATACAAACCTACTCTGCACGCGGAAATCAATTCACACAATCGGAAGAAAATTGCTCGCAGGCGTTTTTTTTTTAACCTCAAAGAATCTTCCGGAAAATCGAGATCATGATCGAGAAGTATTTGAGCATTCGACGCTTTAAGCCAAATTATCTCGCACCATTCTGGGATTTAAAAAAATAAAAAACAAGCAAGCAAGGAAAGAACATAGATTTACACATAGCAAAATAAAAATAAATTGTCAACAGAATGCACAACTACATGAAGCAATTTAGTTCCAGTGCACGTTTAGAGGTTTACACGCCATAACTACAAAACATTCCACACTCCAACGTAACCACAGGAATACAAAACCCTTCGAAACCACAGAACATTTTAGTGCAATACAGAAAAAGAAAGAAGCAAGGCGATCATAATGAAAGGCGTTAGCTTTAAGAGCTGTAGGATGCTTCGCCCGATGATAAGTTCCCTCCACGATGACGCTCCATCTCCTCGTATGCCCATTCAAGACCAGGGCAGTAATGGAGTGGCGGGTTAAATCTGCTATCATTGATATCATCTGGCAAGAATGCGCCATTCTCTATGAGAAATTTGACTGCTTCTTTCTTCCTTTCCTTTGCAGCGCTGTGAAGTGGTGTCCCTATGAAATGTGAAAAGACATGCATCAGCAGGTCACAGAATGTAAATTGAGAAGAAGAATAAAGGAGAGTGAAGAAGAATAAAGGAGAGTGGAGAGTTGGGGGCTTGATAAGTCTCTTATGAGTTGAAGATACATACAACCACAAGCACCCAAGGTTCTAGCATCGATATTAGCACCACGCTCGAGCAATTCATCCATAACCTCAAGGTGACCACCCTGAGCAGCAAGGTGGAGAGCGGTCAGGCCTTTTGATTTTGGCCCCCATGCAGGCACATTAACATCCATTCCTTCATTGAGTAGACGTTTCACCTGTTACAAAACATCCCCAATCAACAAATCATTGCCACAGCATAACTCTTAGCACAGCTTCCTTCAGTACAAAAGAAGTGCCTTTATCTTGATATTTGCAAACACAATGATGCAAACCAAATAAGGTTAAACAACAATATAAGAACTGGCTCTCAAGAAACCATTCTCTACTAGCGAAAAAAAATACAGTTTCTAATTTTCTACCACTAGAATGGAAGTGATGGAACAGATTATTGCACCAACAGCTACAGAAAAGCGTATACCTGTAGCAGATTAAGGATATATCTAATGTAGGCATAGAGAGTAGCAAGTGTTTTCTCAAATTATTTCAAGTGGAAAACGAGACTTTTATGGCCATAGAAAAGATCTCATCTTTGAGACTAATTTCTTGGGGCTTCAGGTGCCTGCTGATTAAAGCTGTTCAATGCCAAAATAGCTACCAAGAATCAGACCAGAGCTTTCCACTGATTGTTTAAAATACCTAGATTAACTAATTCTAGAATCCAGACACATCATCTTCATTGAGACAAGTTTCTAATCTCCAATCCACTAAAACAATTCAGTAATTAAAGACCCACTTGCAGCTTCAAAAGGAAGAACACTACCTAGCAGCTTATAAAGAAACTCCCGTCATATCCCTCTGCCTAGCACAGAAATTGATAAATTTTATTCTACTTTAAACAGAAACTTGTGCAAAGTCTCGGTAAATATTTTAAAAGCATCCATTAACATAAACAAGATTTAAACAGTACAACTCTTCACCAATATAACCACTAGAATAACACAATTGGTAACTCTTCAACTCATAACAAAAGAAACTTCCTAATCCAATAAAATCAGTAAAACCCATAAAAATAGAAATTAAATAAACCCAGAAAAAGAAAATTACCTGTTTGAGATCACCTTTCCTAGCACCGATATGGAGCAAAGTCCAACCTCTATCATCTCTATCAACACCCCCAACCGACCTAAAAGACCGTCTTCTCGACAAATTACGCCTTAACGAAACCTCAACACAACCTTCGTGTGGCATACTTTAATTGAGCAAAAATTTGCACACAGACAGAGACCCAATCAAACCCAATCCTTGAAAATCCAGCAATTAATTTGAAGCCTTGTTTTTTCAATCAAGTTCTCAATAAGATCTAATTAATTAAAAAAAGACCCTAAAGATCAACAAGAAGAAGGCAAACGACAGATTTACATGTTCAGTTTTCAATTCCGATTAAAAAAGAGAAAAGAAAAAAGTGATTTAGCGAGAAGTGGAGTGATGAGCAACGCAATAAGGAGAGAAAGGATTGAGGCCGGGACCGAAAACACGAAGATTTTCACAGATAAGAAAGGCGAGAGGTGAAGAGATTATAATCATAGTAAGAAATTAGATTTTGTGAACCCTAATTAATTTTTATGAGGTGATGTTTAGATGAATCCGGATATTATGTGGAGAGAATTTATTAAAGAGAACATGAAGAAATTGATTGATTTTTATTTCTTTCACGCCCAAACCAAACCCTAATTTTCGAGACCGAGAGAGAAAGAGAGAGCTTTCTGATTCCAGTTTGTTTTGGGAACGAAGGATACGCCTACGCACTCACAAACCGCGTGTTCTTTTTTGTTTATTGTTAACCGGTAGCTAGATTTTAATTCACGCGTCCCTCTAACGCTGCGTATTGATGCCAAAAAGTTTTCCTTAGAAAATTTAAAACTCCACAAAATCATCTAATAGGTTCCACCGAGATTTGAACTCGGGTTACTGGATTCAGAGTCCAATGTCCTAACCGCTAGACCATGGAACCATTTGTAGTATGCATTACCTCTACTAAATCTCGAACTAGGTACCACACTGCAGTGTTGATTTTTTTTCCTTTTTTTTTTTTAATTTCCAAGGTCACGACTACGACTATTACCCATTCATTGAATAATATGATTTAGAAGGGGAAGAAAAAGGGAAATGATTTACCCAGGATGACACTAGTTTGTCAAATAAATCAAACAATCGGCACTTCCACGCTCACTATAATTGATTATGGCAAGTTTCAAGACCCCATTACAATTAAAAGAGGTGGAGGTTTTGAAGAGTGATATCAATGTTCATAAAAAGTTTGATGATATTTTTATGATTTTTTAATTATTTTTGGATATTTATGTTTAAATTTTATATTATCTTTCATTTTGGTTTTCAAAGTTTTAAGATAAAATTTTGATCCCTTGGTTGTTTCCACCTTTTGGCCTACTGCATTGGGCATGCCTCCTCCATTTTTTTTTTTTCCACATATTTATATATATTTTTTTAATTATTGAATTGAGCGTCAAAATTATGAAAAATCAATAGCTATTTTTCTCTTTGGTTTTATCTACCAATTTATGTTTTTTTTATTATTAAATTGAATGTGAAAATCATGAAAAATTAAATATTATTTTTTCACATAAGTTAACAATTATAATATATATATAATATGTTTTCAGATTTTAAAACACACACACACGCACACACATATTACTTTTATTATTTAAAATTGATTTTTTTCAATTTTTCGTTTCTTATAAAAATTTTGATCAAAATAATTTTTTATTGTTCTTTTTTTATGTAATTTTATTTATTAGTAAATATGATTTATTTTTTCTTGTGTATTGACTTTCAAATAAGTTTTTTTTTTTTTTGTAGTTGTTTTTATTTGTTTATTTTTTATATAATCAAATTTTGAAAATAGAATTCAAGTGTTTTATTTACTTATTTTTTATATTCTCAAATCCATCGAAATTATTTTGTAGTTTTTTTATTACATTCTACTAACTTCAATATATTTTTTACAACTTATTTTTTAAAAAATCAATTTGTGTTGCACCCTCCGACCCAATGAGTACGGTTATAATATATGAAAAATATATATATATTAGAGTTATTGATTTTTATTGAAAATTAACTATGCATCTATACTAATAACACCAACCATTTGCTATTTTTTATATTTTAAAATTATTTTTTCAAATAAAAGAATTAAAATAATGTTTTAGAAGAACTCGCCTAATAATTCAAATATAATTTTTTATGCTAATAATATTCAATTTTTTTATAAATAAATATATATAAATCAAATGTATGTATTTTCAAAAAAAATATTCTTTTCATCAATAAGAATAAAAAAAATTATTTATTAACTTTTATACATGTTTTTATATTAATTGTTATTTTATTTTTTGATACAATGTCATAAAAAAATATTAAAATATTTTTAAAAATTTTATATTTAGATTATTACATGTTTTTACTAAAGAATAAATGCATAAAAAATTGTGTTTTTTAACTAAAAAATTGTTTAAAAATAAAAAAATAGATGCAAAAAATTGATTAAAAAACATAAAATTAGATGAAATTTTATCTTTAATTTAATATATTTTTGTTGACCGACATCATAGTACATATTATTAAATTAAAATAAATATGTTTAGTTCAATTCGTAACGTAGCATGGGAAATCGACTAATTTATAACTAATAAATATCACCTTCCTCGGTTTTTGATTTAAGCTTGGCATATAGTTATAAAGAAAATCTCTCCCGCGTCAAGTGAATAGAGATTAGGCCTCCTTATTTGAATGTCGTTGGCCTCTTGAATTTATTGGCATGTTTTACTTCTCACTCTACTTCATGATTCTCTCTCGAATTTGCTCATGCATCTTCTTAATATTTTTTGCTCTCACATTAGCATTAGCACTAAACTTAGTTTGAGTTGGTTTCAATGTCAAATCAACTATAGTGATATGATTTTGATCATATACAACCTTAAAAAGACTTTTGCTAGTTGTTTGACTTGAAGACCAATTTTAGTTAAATTCAGCTCAAGTAAGAATCAAATTCCACTATCTTATGTTTTTTTCCCCATAAAGCTCATTGACAAGTTATTTAGACTCTATTAACGACTTTGGTTTGTCCATCGATTTACGAATGAGTCACGGAGCTAAATTAAATCTTAGTTTATATTTTTATGCTATAAGGTCATCCAAAAATGATTCATGAATTTTGACATATCGATATAAAGTCATGGTTTTTATAACACCATATAAATTTACCGCTTCTTGAAAGTAAAAGTCAATAGTGTGAGTAGCATCATTAGTCTTGCTACATGAAATAAAGTGAGTCATCTTTAAAAAATAATTCATCATTACCCTCACGACATTCTTGAAATTTTGTGTTCTCAAAAGGCCAACCATAAAATCCATGCTCACATCAATCCATGAAGCTTCAGAACCAATAATAGGGCATAGAAACCCATCTTTTATCTTTGAGTCTTTGTCATGAGATAAACCCGAGTATCTTTTTCACACACACACACACACACACACACACACACACACACATATATATATATATATATCGATAATTAAGGCCAATAAAAACTCTATTATATCGGGCTTAAAGTTTTTTCTCGACCAAAATCCTTGCAAGCCCTCCGTCATGACACTCAATTAGAATGGTTACTTGTAATGAACACATTCGCACACACAAACAATTTTCCAAAACCAAATAATAATTATCAACATGAAAATTGTTTAAAAGAGAACTCACCAAATTACTCGTAAAATTATGCCAAAATTCGAACTTTCTTTGTATAAGTCTTTGATCACTTCAAATCCAACAACTCAAACTTGAAAAGTATAAAGTAGAATATATTAGTGATTGCATGAGCTATCTTATTTTGAACCCCAAACTTGTGCTTAAGAGTATAATAAAATGAAGAAAAAAATTCACTCCATGTAGCATGTCAATCATTCAACTTGGTTTGACTATGGAGATACTTGAGAGCCTAGTGATTGGAAAACAAAACAAACTCCTTGGCCAATAAATATTGATGCTAGTGATCTAGAGGTTGAACTATGATATAAAATTCCATGTCATAGGTTGAGTACTCCTTTTCGATCTTTATTTAACTTTTCACTAAAGTAGGTTATAGATCATCTCTCCTAGCTAAGAACAACTCCAATATCCATACTAGAGGCATCACAATCTTCCTCCAACACCTCAAAAAAATTGAGAGGTGAAAGAACATGAGCTTCAATCATTTTGTGCGTCAATATCTTAAATTTTTTTTTATCTTCAATTATCTACTCAAACTTGTCTTTCTTTAATAATTTGATAATTAGGGCAATGAGGAACTAAAATTCTTAATGAATCTTCGGTAAAAAAGACACCGAGGCCATATAAACTTTTCATCTTTATTATAGTTTTAGGTATCGCCAATTGATGACTTCTTCAACTTTGCTATCATCCATCTCTATATCCTTAATCAAGATAACATACCCAAAAAAAAAATACTAACCCTTATCTATAAATAGATAGCACTTTTTTAGGCTAGCATATAATTTTCAAAAATCTATCATTCATGCCTAAATACCTATCACATTTTCAAAAATAAACTAGGACATCATCAAAATATACCACCATAAACTTCTTAATGAATAACCAAAAAAATTGGTTCATCAACCTCAAAAACGTGTTTGGTGTATTGGATAGCCTAAATGGCATGACCATCCAATTATAAAGACAATCTCTCGGTCTTGAAAGTTATTTTTCACTCGTCTTATAACCTCGTAAGGATCCGATGATACCCATTTGATAGATTGATCTTCCAAAATATTGTAAACCCATACAACTAATTAACTAAGTCATTAAGTCTCAAAATTATAAATCAATACATTAGAGTAATTTTATTCACGACTCTACCGTTAATGCATATCCTTTGTGTATGATTCTCTTTTGGAACTAGCAAGATGGGAACTATATATGGGCTCATACTTTCTTTGACCAACCTTGTGGCCATGCGCTCGACACTTGCTTTTATAAATCCTCATGCTCCTTCGAACTCATCTTATGAACTAGTCTATGTGGAATCATCAACCCTAAGACAAAGTTAATAACATGCTATATATCTCATATAGGAGGTAATCTCGTAAGGACATCACTCGATTCTACATCCTCATATAGTTGAAGTAAGGGCCTTACCTTATCGGTTATCTCACTTTACTCCCCATTCTCCTAAAAACATTAAAGGAAAAAATAATTTTAGATCCTTCTAATGTCTTGATAAACATTGAATTAGAGATCAATTCCTCTCAAGTATCACTAGTGCAAGCCAAAACTTCTTTCTTCAATGGCATCAAAACAATCTTATCTTTATTATTCTCGAACGAATATGTATTTTTATACCTATCATGTACTACATGTCTATCATATTGCCATGGTCAATCTAATGGGATACGACTTTGTATCCATAGGATGACGTCACACTAAACCTTATCTTGATACTTCTTACTAATTAAGAACTACATAAGACACCTCTTAGATACCTTAACCTCATCACTCTTATGTAGCCATGTTAGCTTATATGGACTAGGTTGCTCGGTATTTAGTAAATTCTGCTTTTGTACTATATTTGTAAAAATCATATTTTTGCAGTTATCCTCATCGATGATCACCTTACACACTTTGTCATAGGATGTAAAATGAGTGTAAAATATGTAATTTGTAACCACTCCTCATACTTGGCAATCTTGACACTAAAGCCTCCTCTAAGAACCAATAATTTTCTATCATTTATATAAATATCTTCCTATCCCTTAGCCAATCCATCATCTACCTCAAATTCCTTTATAAAAGAAACTACTCTTTGGTTAGGGCAATTTGAATCTATGAGGCTAGACTTTTGACACTTGAAACACTTTTGAGAATTGTTGTTGGACTTTATTTTTATTTTGTTTTTACCACCCGAGCCACCTTCCCCACTTGTCTTATGTCGTTATCTTGCCTTTTCCCTCACAACTTCTTTGTCTCTTCAAGTTTCGTAGCATATAGAGGCACTCTTCGTTAATTTGATGGCCACGATCTTCACTTTTTTATCATCTTGTAGATCCTTGTAATAAAATACTCTTTCTACCATGTGCTGCAATTCAATAAACCATCCAGATTAAGTTTTCCTTCAAAATCCAAGATATCTACCTTAACACCAAAATCTTGGTGTAGTTGTTTATGCACATACTCCTCAAGTTATCACTATAAAAACCAAATCTCTCATTGTAAATTTGCTAGTGTTAGCTCCGAAATAGTTTATGTTGTTGGTTGCGGTTAGATTGTTTTTTAGAGGTATTTTCACAAACATTGTCAAAAACATATATCGAAAAGAACACCCTAAACTCGATAATAAATGACATTGATTTGTAAAATAAATCAAACAATCCGCACCTCCACATTAGTTAGGGCTAGCTATAGCAAGGTTAAAGAACCCCACTACAACTTATAGTTAACAAAGATTATAAATCACCAATTTTGTAGATCAATCAATTGATACAAGAAAAAAAAACATAATTCTAAAACTAGTCACAAGAATCACATAAAGAATTGAGAAAATCTCAAGAACTTTTATTCAATATCAATCATAATAGTCTTTTGTTAAAATTTGAACAAAAAAAAAATGCTTATATGCCCGAATGTAGACCAACTTTGGACAACTAGGGTAAGTTTTCAATTTGAAAAAAGAATTAAAACAATCTTATAAATCCTAATAGGATTATGCTAATATAATTCCAAATAGGAAAAAAATATAAAAATAAATGCTTACTAACAAAGCATAATAATAATAATAAGAAATTATAATAAAAATCTAAAAATAAGACACTCATACATCACGGGGTTATGTATTCTCAAAGAAAATATAGGTTTAATGACACAAACTACCCCCGAACTATTGGGTTATGGCAATTTAAAGCTCATGCTATCAATTTGGGTTATTTGGATCACAAACCATAAATTTTTGAACAAATGTTATCATTCCTCTATTATCTCCAACAATCAAAACGTTGATCGTTAATTGAAATATGATTTAATGGCGAAATTTATCCTTAAATTATTGGAGTTGTGACAAAATAAGACCTATACTATCAATTTGAGCTATTTGGACCCTAAATTATTACTTTTTGGACAAATCTTATCATTTTCTACTATTTTTTATAGTTAAAGTGTTGATCGTTTTGTTTTTTTAATAATAGTTAGCTTTAACGAAGTTTAGATGATTTTGTTGTTTATAGATTGAAGTTTTTTATATAATTAATTATGTGTAATGAATCCATCTAGAAAAAAACTTGAATTATTAATTTTTTTAAGAATTAAAATTAATTTAAAAAATAACTTGACGATTTCAACTATGATTCTGATCAAAAGTTTGTCGGAGAAGTAGAATTTATTGTTGGTCATAAATAATTTCTTCAAATACATACCGAAACCGAAACTATATTTATTTTATCAAAATGTTGATTTCATATTTATATTATTTTAAAGATGAAAGCATGCTTCTATGAGATTTTTTTTATTGAAAAGGGGGGCATAATGATTTTTTGAAAGCTAAGTTTTTATTGTATATGTCATTAATTACTCCTTAAATATTATAAAATTTCTCATGCATCTTCCATAATAAATGACACATCTCGTTGTCCAAAAGAAAAAAAATATATAATAGTAAATATTTTAACCATTAGAGATAAGGAAAAAAAATGATAACATTTGCCTAAAAAACAATAATTTGAAATTCAAATAACCAAAATTATATATATATATATATATACATATATATTAAAGCTCATATTATCAATTTGGGTGTATAAATGTGTGTGGGGATTTTTGTCATAACTCAATAATTTGGAAGTAATTTTTCTATTAAATCAAAAAATATATTTGAATTTGCTTTCGTTATTTATTTTACTGCACCTCAAGTTTTATTTTATATATAAATATTAAAAAATGATAATGACAATCAAAAGGGCAAGAAAAGAAAAGAAAAGAAAAAAAGAAACAAGGATAGAGAACACAAAACCCTATCCGCCCTTGAACCCAACAGGACCCAAATCCAACCGGGGCTAGATAATCCTGACCCGTTGCAAGAAGCAGGAGCAAGAGACGAAAATTCAACCCAACTCAAAGTATGCTATCTCAAAATTTGGGCCCATTGGGTGTGGATCAATGTTGGGCTGTCTCTCGTATTTGCCATTTGGTAATGGGATAATAGTTTGTTTGCTTTTTTTCCCCCTTTTCTCTCTCTTTATTCATGGAGTACAAATGAACACACAAACACAAGGCAAACACATACAGCTCTGGAATAAAACATAAGGTAATGTTGCATGAATTAAAACAAACAAACAAATTCTTGTATATAATGCTCCAATCATTTTCAGTTGTGTCTTCTCCAAACAAGAAAAATACGTACAGGTATAACCTGTTTCTAAAAGCATTTCTTTCACGAATGCATAATGTACAGTTTCTCCACCTCGATACTACACACCAAAAGAATTTCTCCAAACAGCAGCTGATGTCCAACTTGACAAAAAGAGTTCCTCTAGTATACCAAAAAAAAAAGGCAAATGTCTATGTATACTGTTCATACTTTTTTCTTCTCTACCCATTTTTCTCAATACAGTTTTACTATTGCTATTCTCCACCCACAAACCAAACTTCTCTTCTGCATTACGCTGAAGAAACCATGAAATTTAAAAGCAAACGAAAGATCAATCTGAGAAATGGTTTTGACCTATTATCTTATAGATTATTTTCATGGATGAGTTTGTTCAAAAGGGTTGTCAGCAGCGCATCTCTCCGCTCAGCCCTGCTGTCTTCTCTTATCCTCCTCTGTTCTTCTCTCTCCCTCCAAGCCTGCTCAATCATTAACCTCTCCCTCTCGAGCTTCTCCATTGACTGCCGCCATTCCTGCTCAAACATCTGCCGCTCTTGAGCACGCCTTTCCATCATCTCCCTCCACTGCATCTCCATCTTTTGTTGCTGCTGGAAGAACTCCTTGAGCATTTCTTGAATACCACCAACGGTACTACTGCTCGCTCTTGGAGACTTCACTACCATTTTTTCAACCTTCCTCTTCCTAGAATTGCTTCTAGCTGGCTTCTCCTCCTCACTGTACTCTTCATCCTCATCTTCATCATCTGAGAATTCTTCAGAGGATCTATCTCCACTAGTTCTTTTCACCCTTTTCCTTGACTGAGTAGAACCTGCCTCAGATTCAAGAAGTAGTCGCTGCATGTTCTTAGCTCTTTCAGTGAACACTGCATGGAGTTCCTCAAAGAACGGGCATTGCCGGCCAGTCTCAGGATCAGATGTCTCTTTGCCCTGATTAATTGCAATTATTCATGAAGAAAGAACACATGGTGCACATATGGATGAATGCACCAATTTAATATATAAATCACCCACTGAGTGAAAAGCTCAAAGGACCTAAGAGACTACGACAATGGAACCATTTTAAACATATAGTCAAGGGTATTCACTAATATTCTAGTTTTGGACCAAAGGATGCAGCATAAGAGTTTTTATCAAGTAGGACAGCTCCACAGCTGGTTTTGGTTAGCCTGTATGCACATATAAACATCTTTGGTTAACCAAACCAGTGGTTGGATGCTACTACCTAATAAGAAGTTACCATACATGGGGAGGGTTTTGTTGACGAGCACACAAGAGCACTTGTTAAGGTGCATTTGTTATAGTGTTTGGTAACCAATTTGTGCAGTTCCAATCATTTTTGAGCCATTTTATATATCAAAGTCTAAAACCCATTAGTATTAAATTATATTTTAAATGCACCTTAACTAATACTCTAGGGTGACTCGTTAGCATTACCCATAATTTTATAAAAGAAAGTTCAGTTGGATTGAAAGAATAGGTAATTAGGCTTTGAGTTGAATACAGCCTATAACTGGCCTACTTAAAAGTAAACCAAAACTCACCGATGAGAATAGTATCTCAAAGAAGCTTAAAAAGCAGAAAAATCCTTCCAAATTTAAAGCTGACAATTTTGAAGACATTGATGTATAAGGCATAACACAGCTGTAAAATATCTCATGGGCAAAAAGGTAATGTAGTAGAATGTAAACAAAAGCAACACAACATAATAGATGGAGAATGTGACTGTTTCTCAATTTTGATGACATTACACACTAACAAACATTACCAAAGAATATCAAGTGCTCCATGGTGAAAATCAGCCTGACAAGCACACAGAGGTCTGACACAGCTAATTTGTTGTTTGCATAACTCTTCAAACTGTTTTTAGACATATTTTACAGATGGTTTCAGAAAAATCAAACTTAGGGACACCAGCATGTTCATGATTTATAACTTAAATTAGTATTAGTTAAACATTTAATGTTTGCTTAGAAACTGGAGTTCTTTCCTTGATTAAGGAAAATGGGGATCAGGCTATCTAGGGTGAAGCTATTAAGGTAATTTGCTATAACATAACTACACGGCGAAGGAAGCTAGATGCTATTTGCTGGTGGCTACTTTTAGTTGGTTCAAAGCATGCAACCTGTAAGTTGTAAGTAGCTGATGCACATAGGTCACATCACATGTAGCTAATTAGTGGTCTTGAATCCCTTAACTGCTAAGAAAAGTACAAGAAGCCACATGTTTTTTGGATGCTATGTGTTGTTGGATAATTGTAACTGAGTTTGTTTGCTAGAGAATCCAATAACAACCGTCTCCCCTTATCTCCATAATCTTCTGCATAGATGAGTAAAAACCACTCATTTGTTCCAAATCAGATAAATAATGGAATCTGTCGAAGAAATGTGGAAAATCTAGCATGAGGGAATGAGACAGGTTGAGGGGGTGCTGGCAACTCTAGCAATAAGCTTTCGATTGAACACATTCAAACAACCACATGTAACTTAAAGTGCATGCTACAGCCTTTTATAGAGAAGACTGCTACAAAATATAGAATTTGCTTACAAACTGCATGGTTGTATGCTATAGTAAACAGAAGAAAATACCCGATAAAACACATTTAGTATCCTTTACTGTCGAGTTACTTCACAGTAAACCATTTTTTCCCACATTAATTTTAAAAGTAATATTAAAAACCTGACATTGAAAAGCATTTCAAGCATTTGTTTTTCTTAATAGCATGCCCTAATATTTTTAAATCTAAGAAACAATCACCTGCAAAACAGCAAGTATTTGGATAACCACTCAAACAGCAGAATCAGTACACATTCTATCATCCAAGGTTAACCATTCCATACAAAATCTAGGCTTCCAAAACGACCTTCGTTTTTTGCACTAAAACACAATAGTGTCAACAACTACACTGCAATCTGGGAACAGATAAAATTTACTTCCCCAAGCTTGCCGTATTCCTAAATTCAGAGTCTTTAGCTTCTAATGATCTTCCTTCTCTGTTCCTTTTATTCCTCTTTTGTCCCACCACTAGCATTCCCCATGTCTTAACTTCATTCCCTCTTCTATGCATTTCTTATATGCACTACACACTAAATTTTCCACAATCATTTCAATTTAACTCAATCTGATTAGCAAATCATGACATCAATTATGGGTCGCAAATATCTCTTATCAAGCTAATTACACTCATTTTACAACCCCCATTAAACCTAGCAAATCCTAGCTCTACCAAGCAATAATTCTCAAAAAAATAACAAAGAACACCAGGTGAAAAAGACACAACTTTCTTAAAACCCATTTCTAATTACATTCCAAGATACATGAAAACAATACCTTGTAACGATTGACGAGGTTTTTCCACTTGCACTTACACTGTTCTGGTGTCCTTCGGTACCCTTTCTCTCTCATTTTAGCACTCACTATCTCCCATAACGTCTTGTTCCTCTTTGTCACAGTAAAATCCTTCTCCAACTCCGCTCTAATCCCAATAAAGTCCTTCGTTTCTTGCAGTCCCCACTGTGGTTGTTGTTGTGGTGGACCCCTTGGGGAGATCTCCGCCGTAGGACTTAGCATCGCCTTCGTTGGCATCATGTTTATCCGACCTAGCCCGGAGTCTCCGTCCCCTCCACTACCACTAAACATCATCTTTACGGTGTCGTATTTGGGTTTTACAAAGAAAGTTTGCGTCTGCGTGTATAATCTGAATTTACTGTGGCATCTTTTTTTTTTTTTTGTTATATAGAGGAAAGTGAGTTCTTTTTTGTTGTTTTCGTGTTTTAGGTTCTGTTGCTATATTTTTGCTTCTTGGACAAGACAGACATGTTGAAAGGAAAGACGTACTTATATGGATGGGGGAAATGCGTTTCCATGGGGGAAAAAAGGAAGAAGAAGAAATATATATATATATATATATATATATATATATATAGCATGCTCAAGATTTAAGAAGAAAAAGTAACATTTATTTTTACTTTTTCTTAAATCACTGCCGCTGCCTGCTGCCGACCGCAGTTTTTCTGACTTTTGTTGGTGTTTTTTTGACTTTTTGGCGAATTCACTTTTGTTTTGGTAAAAGCAGTTGATTTTTTTTTTTTTTTTTTTTTGCTGTGTGAATTTGAGAGGCGAAGTGGTATTTCTTTTTTCTCCCTCTTTTCTAAAATCCGTAAGCAACATTCAATTCCAAATATATTTAATAATGTTTGAACTGATTTTTTTTTTTCTATCATGATATTGGAACTGATATTTAAGAAAAAGATATTCTGTATTTGTGCTTTGATCCCAACTAATTAATTTGAAAAGTAGACTCAATTGGTTTTGAAATAAACCAGGGTTCTGAAAGCTCAATAACGTGAAATATTCATGTAGTGATTTTAATAGATTTGATGTCACTTTCAGTCGCTCTTCTCCACAGCAAACTTGCTCAAGCCATGCACACCCCAAAAAGCCAGCTCTTGTTTCGTAGTTCATTAGCAAGAGGAAAAAGGATGGCAAGAGTGAAGGGCTAATTGCCGTGTTTACTCCAACTGATGATTAAGCTATTTATTTATTGACAAAGAAACTAAAACAGGTTGATGGTTCACATGGACAGGAACTACTGTTGCTCGTTACGGTCCACCTAGTAGCAATTTTGTGACTTTTAGGATCGACTTTAATGAACATTTATGGTAGTTTCTTTGTGATTGTTTCATAGTTCATTTACGGGTGCTTTTTTATCCCTAGTTTCACAGTAGAAGAGAGGCAAAAATTGAGGAGATAGATGATAAGAATGCCAAGTTATTTGCAGTGACTATTTTAGCTATGATTCTGATCAAAAGTTCGTTAGGGAGGTAGAATTGATTGGTGGTCATAAATAATTTCTTCAAATACATACCGAAGCCGAAACCGAAATTATATTTATTTTCAAAATGCTGATCTCATATTTAAATTATTTTAAAATTGAAAATAGGTTTCTATGAGTTTTTTTTTTTAAATTGAAAATGGCAGCACGATGATTTTTTGAAAGCCAGCTCTCAATTAAAAAAAAAAAAAATAGAAGGTCGTGTGTCACATTCCTAGGCACGGGGTGGCGCCAAGTATAACATTGCTGGGATCTTGGCGACTTGCATGGGCCTCGGCGGATTCGGCAACGATGTATAATGGGAGTGCGTGCGAACAGCGGGTTCATGTTCGGCACGACTTCGGACTTAGATAAAGGGTTGTCCAAGTTGCATGGGAACACAGCAGTCGAGAGAGAGGGCTCGATCGAGTGCCTAAAAGGTCTATAGGGTAGTAAGCCAAAGGAAGTTCTAGAAGGGGCGATTATCGGCGATTACTTGTCTCCGGCCAATCCGTCCAAATTCATAGGGATAAGCTAAATAGCAGTTCCTATGTAACTTCCAATTATCCTTTGTGATAAAAAGGAGAGGGGGATGTGCTTTGCATAGAGACACCGAAATCAAAGTGTATTCCTTTGTTATCGGGTTAATTAAAGGTTGGGAGTTTTTACGTAATATTGTGTGTAAACTTTGATTTACTCTTGTCTATTGTAGTGTGTTGCCTATTATTTACGGGACTTCGGGAGAAAGCCTTTTGGGTGTGTGAAACACCATAGTCGATAGGCCAAACACGAGAGCAAATTAGGAGAAAAAAGGTCGAAGTCTGGGGGACTAGGTCGCCGCATCTGGGTTGAAATTGTGACAAAAATTTGACCCTGTGACAAGTGGTATCGGAGCAAAAGTTCGTTCTATTGGTCGGGATTTTGAGGTCTAATGCCGTCCGGGATGGAGATTATATGAGAAAGACTCACTCATCTTGAAGAAGTCTTAGGTCCCGTGGCTGAAAATGAAGAGGGTTCCATGAACGAAAGGCTTAAGCGTGTTGAGGAAGTGGCGAAAGGGCTTCGGGCGGTCGATGGATCTTGCGGCGAGAGATGGGTCGCAAAGTGCGAGCTCTCGAGGAAGAGATTGCGGTGCGAAAAGGGCGATGGCGGCTATCCTTACGGGTGAGGGCATGTCCAAGCCGAAGATACCGGATCTTAAGCCATTCGGGGGCGTAAGGAGTTCTAAGGAATTGGAAAACTTTCCGTGGGATATGGAACGAGTACTTCGAGTGGCCAATATTAGGGACGACGAACGAGTGAACATCACCGCAATGTATTTGATAGGTGATGTAAAGCTGTGGTGAAGGACCGAATCAAGGAAGACTTGAACATTGGGCGACCTAAGATTGATATTTGGGTCGTCTCAAGCAAGAGTTGAAGGAACAATTCCTACCGAATAACACTTCCGGCTTGCGAGGGAGGATTTAAAAAGGTTGAGGTAGGATAAATCGGTGAGGGAATATGTGAAGGAATTTAGTTCTCTCATTCTGGATATCAAAAACATGTATGAGGAGGATAAATTGTTCAACTTTCCGTCGAGCTTGCGAGTCCTCGGCACAAACAGAGTTGAGGCGACGAAGGTGACCGATTTGTCTTCGACAATCTCTATCGCGGATGGGTTGATAGATTTCAAGACCGGGGCGAAAGATGCGTCCGTTGCAGCGACCCTCTCGAAATCCAAGGTAAAGGATAAGAGGGAATTTCCATAAAGGAAGAAATTCGATAGGGGTGGATTCAAGCTTGCCTATGATAAAGGTAAGGGCAAGTAGGTTGATGCGTCACGAAAGAATCTAGGTCGAATACGAGTCGTTTCATATGTGGGGGATCTCATTATGCCCGAGAATATCCAAAAAAGAGAAGTTGAATGCCATTCGGTCAATGACGATAAGCAAGAGCAAATAGTCATACACGTTAACCCAATGCGTGTGTTGAATTGTCCGATTGCGAAAGAGGATTCGATGGACGAATTCGGCCTTGTCAACACCGACTTGGTGCGGTTAGATGCTTTACGACAAGGGAAGTTGGGTGCTCTAGACACATTGATGTATGTGAAAATCGAGTGAATGATCGAAAGATCATGGCCATGTTGGATTCTAGTGCTATAAACACTTTTGTTGTCGATAGGTTGATGACGCAGTTGGGTCAGCGGGTGAGCAACGGACATACAACAATGAAGGTAGTGAATGCCAAGGGACGACGGATCGGGGAACCGCATACAAGGTGTCAATAGTGCTAGATAAATGGTAGGGCAAACAAGACTTATTGGTAGTGACTCTTGATGATTTCGACGTCATACTTGGCCTAGACTTCTTGAAGAAAGCCAAGATAGGACCGATGTCGTATCCGGAGGGAATTCGATTGCCCACGATACATGCCTCGGTTTTATGTTGTGTGAGAAAACTTCGATGGCTGAAAATAGTAAGGGTAGTCGTAGCATCATTTCGACCATCGCAATTAATAAGGCCTTAAAGAAGGGTGGTGAAGTGGTTTTGGCGAGTAACAATGGGGGAGGATTCGGGACTAATAGAGCGTGTGTCGGATGTCATTGCTAGGTTGTTGAAGGAATACTCGGATGTAATGCTTCCCGAGTTACCGAAAAAGCTTCCATCGAGAATGGCCATTGATCATAGAATAGAACTTATGCCCGATGCGACAAGACCGTTGCGACCTCCTTATCAAATGTCTCCAAAGGATTTGCGGGAATTGAGAAGACAAGTTGGAAGAGTTAATAGGCACTCGGGTTTATTCGACCATCTAAAGCTCTTTATAGTGCTCTCGTTCCATTCCAAAAGAAAGCGGATGGAAGTCTTCATATGTGTGTGGATTATCGTGCACCTGAACAAGGTGACAATAAAGAACAAATATCCAATACCACCGACGTAGGATTTAATAGACGGAGTTGTATGGAGTCGCTATCTTCACGAAGTTTGATTTGAGGTCCGGTTATTGGTAAGTGAGGATTGCCGAGGGGGATGAGCACAAGACGACTTGTATGACGAGGTATGGCTCATACGAGTTTCCGGTTATGCCATTTGGCCTAACCAATGCTCTTGTTACATTTTGTAACTTGATGAATGATGTGCTATATGAGTTCTTAGATAATTATGTTGTGGTCTATCTGGATGATATTGTGGTTTATAGTAGGAACTTGAATGACCATGTAGTCCATTTGTCGGATGTTTTAAAGAAACTTAGGGAACAACTATTTGTAAAAAAGGAAAAGTGTGAATTTGTATGTGTTGAGATTATGTTCCTAGGTCACTTGGTCGGTGAGGGTCAAGTGAGAATGGATCCAAGGAAGGTACAAGCTATCCTATAGTAGGAGACCCCTACATCGGTGTCCGGGTTACGATCATTTTTGGGGTTGGCAAACTACTACCGTTGGTTTATTGAGGGATATAGCAAAGTGGCAACTCCTCCGTCCGATTTGTTAAAGAAGGACGGAAGGTGGAATTGGGTCGACGAGTGTCAACGAACATTCGACAAGCCGAAGAGAGCCGTTACGTCGACCACTAGTGTTGAGATCGCTCGACTTTAAGAGGCCTTTTGAAGTGCATACCGATGCTTCGGATAAGGCCATTGGGGGTGCTGGTACGGGTCTCATCCGGTTGCATTTAAAAGTTGAAAGCTATATAAGGTAGAACGAAATATTCGACATATGAAAAAGAAATGACAACCGTAGTCCATTGCTTGGGTGTGTGGCGAGTGTATCCGTTGGGGGTCGAGATTCATAGTGAAGACGGATAATATGGCCAACATTTTCTTTAAGACACGAAGAAGCTATCTT